TAGTGGGAAACAAACTAGATAGAGCTCCCACCTACACACAACTTAGAAGGCTGATAGGGTCTTCCCACGAATAGTCAACAACATGCCTAAATACATCTATAATTACGAATAGCTCAAAGTTCTCTGGAGGAAAGGGTGTGATGAGAGAATAAAGGGATTTCAACATCAAAAATATATAATTCCCCCCACCACAGTTATCACAGGAACACCCCCCCTTTTTTTGCCTCCTTTTTTTCTTTCTAGTTTTAATGAGATGTAATTGACATCCAACACTGTATAAGTTTCAGATGTACAGCATAATGACTTGACCTACATACGTCATGAAATGATGACCATGATAAGTTTAGTGAACATCCATCCTCTCATCTAGATACAAAATAAAAGCAGTACCCCTTTTTAATGTGAAGAATACACCAGTGATCCTTGGTAGGCTTGTTCCAGGGAAACTAATTCACTTAAATTCATTTAAGGAGCTGATACACAAACTCTACATTGCATTAATTTTTCTGAGTCGAACCATCTCTTAAAATAAGTTTTTGGGTTCACAGTTTGCATGTATAAAATTTGCAGCCAGTTTTAAGGGCTCACCTTCTTGTAAATGATTAGTAATTGATTTTGGGCAGGGGGAGACAAACTGCTTAAATAGCATAATTAATTTGCTTTCGGTCCCTTGATATTTCCTTTTCTCTGAGGATCCTGTCCTCCTCCCTAGCTCAGCCCATCCATTTCCTCTGATCACACTGCTAGATTTTGGCATTATCCCACACTGTCCCAGCTCCATGATTTTAATCTCCAGCATCCCATTCTCAGACTGTTCCCCAGCTTTTAGGGGTGGTTCCCTGCTCCAGCAATTCTTGGATTCCCCTCCTCCCACCTTCATTCCTTTGATCTTCTCATCTTTCCATCATCATCACACTCTCCCGTGTCCTCACCTCTCTGCTTATCACAGTTCCCCAGAGTCACTCCCCTGCCTACACCCTCTGCTCTCTGACCCTCTTTC